TTGGAAGAGACTATTGAAGGTGCCATGGGCTGCCAAAAGAACCTATATATCTGTTTTGGAAGAAGTACAGCCAGAATGCTCCTTAGAGCTAAAGTGGCCAAACTTCATCTCTCATACTTCGGACATATTTTCAGGAGGGACCAGTTGCTGGAGAAGGATATCATGTTTGGTAAGGTGGAAGGAAGGTCAGAGAAAAAGAAGAAGACCTCCAGCGAGATGGATTGGCAAAGTGGCAGCACCAATGGGCTCAAGTGTGGCAACAACTGTGAGGTTGGCCCAGGACTGGACATTGTTTAGTTCTTTTGTACATAAGGTCGCTGAGTTGGTACCAACTCGATGGCCCCTAACAACAACAAGCTCAAAATACCAACTGAGAGGGAAGAAGTCTTCACATCAAGGATCAGACCTATCCCTTCTTTACACAGGGTTAATGGAACAATCAACTTAGACACTGGTTACCTAAAATGAGGGGGCTATAAAGGCACGAAGTGGCTTGCTTACAAATTTTTAAGAATGAGTTTTTCAGAGTGTGTGGGAGAAGGTAGAATACCTACTGAATAGCTTTCATCTAGTCTACACAGGTCTGATGAAAGCAGATGGGGATAAGACACTTATGATGCATTAATTAGTAATTGTTACCATGACTAATTGCGATTGTCACAACTGTAAAGGTAGAAGTCTTCTAACAAAAAGCGGGGAGTAGTTAATCTTACATTCCAGGACCATCAAGTGACAAGAGACTGAGCGGAAAGTGGGACCCTATCTCGAAGAAGCAGTGACACCAGAGATGGAGGTAGAGATGGTGACATGGAGAGTTAAAGCAGCTGAGGACTCCAGAATTATAGAAAGAGAAAGGCTGTGTGCTGGTAGCTAGGAGGAAGGCTTGTAGAATGTGCCCTTGGGTTCATTCAATGATTATATATTCCTGAGTGTTTTTACGTACATTTAAAAAAAAAAACAGAGGGAATAGAAGTAAATACTGTTGAATGATGATGCATGGAGGGGGATTGTAATCATTGCAATGAAACGAAATATAATAGGGTAAGTGTAAAACTGATGTTCTCCTATGTAAACTATCACTCAATTCACAATAAAAACGTAAAAAAAACAAAAGCAAAAAACAGAGGGAATAGAAGCAAATACTGTTGAATGATGATACACGGAGGAGACTGTAATTATTGCAATGAAATGAAATATGATAGGATGAGTGAAAACCCGATGATCTTCTATGTAAACTATCACTTGATTCACAATAAAAGCTTAAGGAAAAAAAAAAAAAAAAGATTCACAGCCTCATAAACTCTGTACAGGTTTTCTGTGAGTCGGAATCGACTTGATGGCATTGAACTTGTTTTTTCAGATGCTGTGGAACCTCCACCTGATTTTATGCCTTTTTTCTCAAAATTATGACTATTTAAAACCTCTAATCACATGGGTTGACCTGGGTCTCACATGATTACACTGGGCCTGTCCTAATGTTAAAGACAAGGGAACTAAAGATGAAGTACAAAAGACTGATACTCCTGCCTAAACGGAGCTAACTTAATCTCTCTTCCAAAGGGGAAATGACCAAGACCTTAGGCTGATGGGGAAGGAAAGAGGAACTGAGACTATAGACCCTACTCCACGAGTCTCTCCACTCTCAGCTGACTCACTGCTATCAACATACATATCCAAGTGGTCATCCCCGATTGACACGTGGGTCAGGTAAGTGCCCTCCCCCCACTGGGGCAGCAGAGAAGTTTTTTAAGTAGCTTCACTCTTAGCCTCAAGGTGCTGGCTCTGCTTGTAGCACTAAGCAACTGCTGGTTAGGGATTTTATATAGAATGTTAGTCATTGTTTATTTGTATTAATACCACTTTCTTTTTAAAAAAATCTAAAGACATGCGCAAACCTAGCTACTGTTGTTAAATGCTGTCAAGTCAGTCCCAACTGACAGTAACCCTGTATAGGGTTTCCAAGGAGCAGATGGTGGGTTTGAACCACCGACCTTCTGTTTATAGATTGCAGAAGACGAGGCTTTCTTCTCCCATATAAAAATTTACAGCCTCGGAAACCGTGTACATGGTTGCTATGATTCTGAACCAACTCCAGGGCACATCACCACCACCACCACCACCACAATTTAATATTCAAAATATGCATTTGTCATAATTATTCTTCAAAGAATTCAAATCGGCAAAATTTTCCCCCGGTAAAGAATGAAGCCTATTCTAAGACCTCACTACTGGACAGTAAAAATGTTACGGCATGCCTAGTTCATCTGAGACCCTGGTTTCTGACCCTTGGCCGTGGCAGTCCCGGGTGATGGGGCCATTGACCTGGCACACCTTAAGGACAGCCCTTCACGCCGGAACCAAGTTAGTGACGAGCCAGCTCTTTGG